CTGTACAATTGAAAAATGCATTCTTTTATTGACTTATTTAAGTAAAAAGAAGGGAAGATTCTTTAAAAAAAGGGTGCTCGTCTTGTTGCCTACACACACACACACACACACACACACACAGCCAGAACAGTACAATACAGAACATGGCCCCTGCAGAAAAGTGACAGGTGAATTTATCAAATACTCTATATTTTCACTCAACCAGAGGTTGTAGAGTTGATGGAGAAATCCTTCAGGGCAATGCTATCACCTGCTTTATGCTGAACATAAGAGCAGATAATCCTAATGATCCCTGCTAGTCTTAAATGTTATGAATCTACAAGTGAGCTCAGTAGGTATTTTTTGTACTGTTGGAGATGGGATGACATTTACTATCTCCCTTCCAAATTCTTAAGTAAAACTACAAAAGTAGAAAAAAATAAATCAACCCTATAAACAGAAAGTACCAGCTAAACCCTCCTACAGTACAGCCTACTTACTCCCTCTTGTGCCAACTCCTGCCAATTACCTGAAACCTTATACTCTTTATTGGATTTAGTATATATCTTAATGAGAAATGGCAATGTGGCTAGACATACTTATGCTAGCTTTAAATCTAGCTAACAAAGATAACATATATCCAGTTCTGGCTGAAGCCGCGCAGAAGGCTCAGAAGGCATAGAAGGGAATTGGTGAGGCTTCACTCACCAAGGCGCCCCCGGGGGTTACAAGAAATAATGGCCACAAGCTGGCAGAGAGCAGATTTAGACTAGACATTAGGAAGAACTTCTTCACAGTTAGAGTGGCCAAGGTCTGGAATGGGCTCCCAAGGGAGGTGGTGCTTTCCCCTACCCTGGGGGTCTTCAAGAGGAGGTTAGATAGGCATCTAGCTGGGGTCATCTAAACCCAGCCCTCTTTCCTGCCTATGCAGGGGGTCGGACTCGATGATCTACTAAGGTCCCTTCCGACCCTAACATCTATGAATCTATGAATATAATAGTGAAAATGTGGCAGTACAGACTGCTGCATGAACTAATAACCCAAAGACATGCCCAGGGTCCCCAGCATGTTTGAATAGCTTCTTCTGAACCTGTTGCTGACCCATACTGTTGTAAACCATGCTAGCAGAATAAATCTCCCACTGGTTAAGTATACCTGTACTACAGTCACCTTTATTTCATGAATAGAGACAGGACTGGAAGCAGCCTCCGGGGCACTTAAGTCTAACCCCAGGGTTCATGTGGGCAGTCTAATTTGAGGAATCCCCAAGCTACCATATCAGACTTTGAACACACAAAAACAGAAACATCCAGAATACTCCATCACATACCATACATATAAGGAGACACAAGTGCCATGCCAATGTCCTGCCACTGGAACGGCAGGAAAGTAGCTACATAATATAGACTCAGAGGATCCTAGAAAGGGGACCATGCTCTATGCTTACAGTAGTAGAAGAAGGTAAAAACCCCACAGTCCCTGTCTCTCTGATCTAGGGCAGGGACGGACAAAATACATGCAGCAGGCCATATCTGGTCCACCAAGCAATTCCATCCAGCCCATGGGTGTCCCACCCAACCCACGTGCCTTGCTCCCACTCTGATGCATGGAAGGGCCTGGCCCAGCCAGCATGCAGCTTCTGTCACTGCTGCAGCCACTGGGGACTTGCTCAGCTTCCCCAGCCTCTACCGGCTCCTCCTTGTCTCCCTCCAAGAAGCAGGTAGGGAAGTGGTGGGGATAGGGGAGCTGTGGGGCTAGGGCAGGCAGAAGCACGCAGCATGCACCCAATGGGGTGGCGGGAATGCAGAGCACAGGTAGGCAGAGTGTGGGAGGGGGCAGCAGCAGGCAGAGGCCCTTGGAGCACTCGTGTCCCATACAGGTGCTACTACCCGGCAGCACGCGGCTCCAGCCAGAGCTGCACATGGAGACAAGGAGCACAATATCAAGCCAGCCCGCCTGTATCACACGGGGCTTCCTGCGACTCACGTGCAGCTCTTGACACTCATGCAGCACCAGGGGAAACCCCGCACAATGGACCCGGCTGCCTTTCTCACCATATACAGTTGTCAGGACTCCGCCAGAAGTGGCAGAGAGTTCTGCCCCCTGCTTCCATGCCAGCAGAGAGCGTAGAAGGCAGCTGGCTCCACTGCATGGAACTACCCCCACTGGCGCACAGTGCTAGGAGCTGAACGTGTGCTGCAGAGGTCCCTGTGATTGGGGTGGGCTGGTCCGCCTGCACTCCTTGTTGCCATGTGCAACTTTGGCCAGAGCAGCATGCTGCCAGGTGGCAGCACCTGCACGGGCCACGACCACCCCGAGTCCCTGCCTGTTGCTGCTGTTGGCGGCAGGGGCTGTGTGCCATTTGGGGGAGTGCATGGGGGTCCCCACAGCCCCCCAGCCCATAAACCCCAGACCCACACCTTGCTCCTACAACCCCCTAATTTACACACATCCCATAACATACCCTACGCCCCCCACAGCTACACCTCCTCACAAACCCCACATGCACCCACACCCCACCATACACACCCACCCGTGGCCACACCCCACACACTGCCTCACACACAAAATACAAGAGGAAGACTTTGTTTGACCTATTATTCAGACATCTCTATATACAGTACACAAACACAAATCATGATAAAAATATTTTTGTAATAAAATTGAAATATGCTAAAGTAAATGTTTGACTTTCATTTTATGAGTTGTTTTTTTTCTGGTTCAGATGGCAACCCGCCCCCAAAAGGAGTACTTCCAGGGGGCACAGGGAGGGGGGAGAGAGTGGAGGGGCTTCTAGTGGCAAAGGTCAGGGATTAGGGGGTGGGACTTCCAGTCCCTAGATGGTGACCAGGGGGTGGGGCTACCCTTGCAGCCCTCAACAGCTCACTACAACTCATTAAGTGACCTTCCAGTTAAAATAACTGCCTACCCCTGATCTAGGAACAATGCCTTCCTGACCCTAATTTTGGTGATTTCTATAAATCTGACTGTAAGAGCAAGACCCTCTTGCTAGGAAATCTGAGTTTTCCAAGCACCAGCAGAAATGCACCCTTGTCAAAAACTGAGCCTGAGCTGTGGCCAACCACTCAACAGTTCAAAGGAAAGTAGAAAAAAGAAAAAAAGACTTCTCAATTGCCTCACTTAAAATAATACCAATATATCTGCCTCTCTACCAATGCACCTTAAACGCAGGCTCTTCCATTGTTTTCTTCTGAACCACTATGAATTATTGGTTTATTAATAGAACTTCAATTTTAAGACAAAAATGATCATGCTTTTCTCAACCCCAACAGCCCATGTTAGAGGGATGATATGCACTGTAAACTGTTCATAGCAGTGATTGTTTTTTGTTGCGTTTTAAAGTACCTATATCAGTGTTCCAGCTATTTCCTACCCAGGTCTGTTTAAGATAATCAATCTCCCCATTTTAGAAACTGCGAGATTTCAGACATTCTTATTTCACACTAGGATGAAACCAAGATCTTTCAAATGTGTTTACAACACAAATACCAAACAGCCAATAGCTTGGTGGTCTAGGAACTCACTTGGAATGTGAGCAGCTCAAGTGCACACTGCTTTTCTGAACTATGAATAGGGTCTTAAATCTAGGTCCACATGATAGGCAAGTGCCCTGAGCACATTACTAATCATTCTCGGGGGGGGAAGCAATAGCACTCTGTTTCCCTTTCCCATCTCTGAACCAAGAAACATTTTCCACTAGAACTCAGTTGCAAGTGACATAATGGTCTTGTGAATAGTTTGTTTTGACAAAATGGCATTTTCTGGAAAAAAGGCCAGAGAGAATGACAATTCCCTACTAGCTCTACTGCAATTCAAATTAAAAAAAAATTATAATGTTGAGCCTACATTATTTAGAGCTTTATACATTCACTAAAATTCTGAACCAAACTCACTGACTTAAACAAAAGGAAATGCAGGAGGAAGGGTGCTACAGATTCAATTCTTATACTTTAACTACTGGGCCAAAAAGGAAGCTACACTTCTGCTATTTTCAAGTCAATGTCAAAGCAACTGAAAAGAGAATTACAATAATCCACTGCAGATTTAAAACAAGAAATGGGCAATTCCAGGATGAGAGCTAGAGCAACAAATGCTTACTAGCAGCCATAGAGCCTTCTACTGGAAGCAATTTAATCAAGCAGCGTCTACTTCCTGAAGTGTTCTATGACTGTACATATATAATCTTCGTTCTGTCTTAAAAAAAAAATGAAAACAAATCATCATACTTACCAGACTCTTTGCATTTAAAACTACTTTAGTGTGAACTGTAGGCAATCTTTGACAGATAGTCTTAAAGCCCATAAAAATCTAATCTGTACATCCCAAAGGTGAGAAAACCAACAGAAATCTAAATTTAGAAATAATATCCTGGATCTTCAGTAAATAGTTTTATATTTTAACCAACTGAGAAAAATTCCTGCTACACCTGCAGCTAAGACATAATTATCTTAATAAGTGCTACTCATCTGAGTAAACCGAGTTGGATCCAAAAAAGGAATTATAGCTTCGGCTAGCTACAGAAAGCCAATCAATAATTTGACAGTCAACCAAACAATTCATCATTTACATATGTATGAATCTATAATGACATGATATCAGATGTTAAGAAAATTTGACTAAGACTAACCAAAGCCTTTTTCACACGAAGGACAGACAGTCCATATTTTTGCAAAAATTTAGTTTTCTAATTCACCTAACAGACTTTGGGCAGACGTATTTACTCCTATAGTTTTAAAACATCTGATCTTTGAGGCCATCATGCAGCAGCTTTTAAAACATGAAGGTAGAACTATTTTTTGGAAAAAAGAAGTGTTTACTTAATGCTTCCAAATGACCATATTTTTTACACAGTTGTAAAAAATGAGGCTCATGCCATCAAAAAAGTTCAGGTAAATAACATCCAACTTCGCTGAAATCACATCCAACTTAGCTGCAAAAAACCTCTTAGAATATGTATCTCTGAAAATCTGTGCCAAGAAATTCTATGTAAGGCTGATTACCTTCACAGGAATATCATCTTCTTGGTTTGCAGTCTCTGCAGTGAAGACGTAAGATATTTCTTTATGAGAGGTTGTCTGTCTGCAGATGGCGCACTTAATCGAACTCCTGCGGGTGCCAACACTGTACTGTTCTATAATTATAGCTATACATTCATTACAGAAGCAATGCCCACAAGTCAGAACTGCCCACTGGAAAGGGAAATTAAAAAAGATATTATTTTTTTCCGCACACATGCACTCACAGAGGCACGTAAAAAAGTTAAGATTATGTTAACAAAACATGACCTTACCTTTAATAAGACAACTCTTCAGAATATTAAAACTGAGGGAATTTTAAAAAAAACAACACTACTGGAGCTAGTTGAAAAATCTTGAATTTCAACGTTTCAAGGAAATAAATTAATTTCAAAGAAAGAACAATTTTTAACGGAAGTTTTCAAAGAAGATTTACTATTTATGTTTATCATCTTTGTCTCAGTTTGGAAAGCTAAATCAGATAGGGTAAACTTTTTTTATTTTACAAAATCTTTTTTTTTTTTTAAATGTAGTTGTTATGACCTAAAACCATGCTGTAATGCAGACAATACATAACAAAGAAGGAAACATATTACTGTTTGTAAAAGAATTTAAGAAACTTAAATGGAAATATTTCTTTTGGATTTCAGTTTGGAAGAGTTTATATTTTATAGAACCTATATTTTGATTCAGATTTCACCTTGCCATTGCAATACAAAAAAGTGACAATTCTTACTTCAAAAGTCCTGAGACCAAGTGTTTTAATTTTTTTGATAAGACTGTTAATTGCAATGGCACTCCACTTCTTAAAAAGAATGTTTTCAATATGGGGTTTCTATGGAATGGACTATAAATTAATGCAGAGACTGTGTTGGGGACACCCTCCCTTTAGGAGGGGTTATGTAATAATACTCCTATGACAACTGCAACAATTAACAAAGAACTAGTATTTTACAATTAATGTAGTTTTAGCAACTGACAATGAAGAATTCAGCCCCCAGATGTGATCACCCAGTTCTGTGGACCACCCAAGTAGTCTGAGAACTATGGCTACCTATACAAATGCTCAAGAGCTGGAGGGTGGGGGAAGCATCTTAATTAGAGTGGTTCCTAGAGAGCCACTCTAATTAAAATACCCCATTGTCACATGTATTAAGGCCCCACCATGAGATGCTTTATCTAAACTTCATTTGATGAGATATAACATCATTATACATGCGACAGTGAGACCATGCGAAAGCATTCTAATTAGAATGCGAACCAGCATGTGTATAGGCAGCCATAAGCTTTAGAACAAAATATAAATTCTGGAGAGACCAGGTAACACAGCAGACATGATAAAAAGATATAGAGCCTTTTAGTCTTGGGTACTAGTTTAAATTCAGCAGACAGTACATGAAGCATTACCTATACTGCACCTGTATTTAAAGACATAGGGCATGCATCTCATAATCTCACATTTTTCACTAAACTCACTCTCAAATTCCAGCTTTTCTAGTTCTGAAAAATAAAAGAATCCAGAATATCAGTATCTATCCTATTGCGTCCTATTAGTTTCTGAACAGCTAATATGCATTTTTTAAAGTTTTCTATTCTCAGAAGAAAAAAAAAATCAGTAAGAACAAATACAGAACACCAGACCTTATATTCCACCTTTCATTGAGTAAAGAAATCAAAAGGAACATATACACGGATGAGAGGATTCAATAATATGGTGTTTTTGAAAAAATCTTAAATTTCCCAGATTTAAACACAATGCTCATTTAAATTCAGATGGCAGAAATCAAGTCTAAGAATTTTGTAAAAGAGAGGATCACTTCCTGCTTATTTACCTGCTTTCCCAGTTGGCGAGCACAAATTGGACAGGGTTCTGGATTAACTCCACCAGTGGTTTTATCCTGAGACTATAAAACAGAAACATTTTCATTTTTCAAAAAAACCCAAAAAAGATCATCTATATTTTAAATAATCTATTTGGAAAGTTAATCTATCTACTCGAATCTAAGACAACACTGAATTTAAGACAACCCTTAAACTATGAGATTGGAGACATGGAAAATTATAAATTAGTTTGAATTTTCCATGTCTAGAATCTAGTTCTTGAAGGGTCCTCTTAAATTCATTCCTCCTACCACTTCCACAGGAAAGCTAGTAGCAGGGAAGTAGTAGCTGGGGGGCAGGCAGCCTGCCTTATGCCCCTTGTCCTCCCCCTTGCCACTTGCCCCTAGTGCCTTCCCCTTCCTACCACTTGACCTCTTCACCTTTACAGTTGTTTTTGCTTTATCTCTGGTGGGGGCATGGAGCACCTGGTAGGGCCAAACAGGAGCACTGGCTCTGACTTCAGCCTCCAACCCCAGTCAGGGTGGGGGTCAAAGCCATAGCAACTCCCCCACCACTCTGCACACGCCTTCCCTGTGCATGCCTCTCTCAGTGCTCACCATTCACTATGTACTCCTTCAACAAACCTGTTCCCTATGCTCCCCTTGCTCCACAATCCACTTGCCCAGCACCCTATGCATCCCTTTCCCCACACCACTCATCCCTTCCTCATGTTCCCCCAGAACTGCTCACCCTTTCCCCATCTATAGTGTGCACCCCCTTGCTGCTTCCCTACCCTGCACCCCATGTCTCTTTTCCTGCATTCCCGTCGCTCTGTGTATTTCTTCACCAGTGTTCCCCCTGCGCTGCGTGCCCATTCCTCATGTTTCCCCTGAATCGCACACCCTCCCATGTTACCCACGTCTCTTCTCCTGCAATACCTCCACTGCTCTCTCCTGTGTTTCCCCCCTGCATCATGCACTCCTTCCCCTTGTTCCCACCCTGCACTGCACACCCTTTTCCCCTGCGCTCCCCCCTGCACTGTGCTCACATGTCCCTTCCCCTGTGCCATTTCCCCACACATGCCCCACTTGCTCTGCCCATCCCTTCTCCCACAATCCCACCGGCTCTTCCCCATGCTCTCCCATGCACACCCTACCTGTCACATGACCCACCCATACCCCTCTTCCACAGCCGCAGCAATAGCTTGCCTAGTCTGTACTTGATTTTAAGATGAGATGTTTTTTCCTCCCTGTGCTAAATGAGGGGGGGAACCCTCACCATATTTGAACAAATACAGTATTACAGTCAATCCTGAACTGATTTTATAACTGCTTTTAAAGTTGCTGAACATCCTTTGCTAATTTTTGTAGAAATAAAACCAGGTTATCTTCTCCACCCCATGAATCAAAAATAGTAAATAGAGTATTTAATTAATGATAACAGTTCTATTTATATCTGTTTATCAAACTGTATCAGACTTTGAAAATGTTCCTGAGAAGTGTTTCAATGTAACAAAAAGTCTGATGAAAAATGTTGTAGAGATCTCCTTTCCTTCTTTTTAAATTAAGGTTCAACTTACACTACAAAAGCTACTACAATTTTTTTTTTACAACAGCCAGATTATATAACAGACCAAAAAACTCAAATATGCTTAAAAGTGTCATTAAATTTTTAATGAAATGTTCTGTGATTTCTGTAGGAAGGAATAAAAAAAAAGAAGAAAGCTCTTTGATTTCTGAAAGTTTAAAGTAATATTTAAAACACATTTTTAGTCTGCCTGAATCATACCAAACCTTGTTTACCTATGCTTTGACTAATTTTTGTTGTTCAAACAATTGGCAAAAAGAAGTCGGCATCAATATCACCAAATCAAACTTTGTACAACAGGTCATCTGCACCAGGGCAGTCTCCATCTTAAACACACTGGGTAATTATCCCTTAATATATTGAGCACAATTCTGTACAATCTTTATCTGAAATAATTACCTGTTAACTGTCTGCTTTAGATGATTTAAAAACATATACATAGTATTTACTATTTGTATTATAAATACTAGGGTACGGATGTGTGTCACCAAACAGCGCTTGGAGAGACATCATCCCACCATCATAAAACCATTCCAAGATATTCAAGGTGTAATTGAATTAAAACAATTAGCTTGTCTTGTTCCATAATCTCTTGAGATAACTGGGGACTTATACAAAGGAAGAAGTGGGGCAGAAGATACAGAATTTCTCACGGGTAGAATGACCAGAGGTTGCTGGGAAACCAGTGACAGTAAACTAATCAGAGTGCTCAATCCTGGTGATGAACTTATTTAATCAAGGCAAAGATCTAACAGGCATTTAAATCCGGTATCACAAAAGAAACTTTTGAAGCAGTGGTTCTCAACCAGGGTGCCATGGTATGCCAGGGTGCCATGTGACCCTTTTCAAGGATGCTGAAGCACCAGTGCTACCACAACCAGGTGAAACTGCTGTGTGCCTCAGATGGAGCTAAAGGTTTATTTCTCTTTTAGGTTTATTTGATAAACCTAATGCAGGCAGCAGCACTGGCTCCTACCACAGCTGTTCCCAGTCTTAAATGGCTGCAGCAGCAGTGTTTCTGTTGAGAACCACTCTTCTGCAAACAATTTGACCTATTTGAATATTATGTTTCAACAAAATAATATCTTTAAAGAACCTTATGAAAATTAGCACATATATTTAGTGGATACTTTTGACAATTATATTATTTCTGCTTATTTACAGATTTCCATACCAAGAGCTGAAAAGAAACAAAAGTTGTTTTAGATTGTTTATATGTTCACATTTGAGTGATTTAGAAAGTGGCCAAAATATATTATGTTACACAGTATTTTTATGTAACATATACAACATGGATTATGTAATATATCATGTGGTAATCACTCACAATACAAGGTAATAAGATTACAATGCATCTTTAGAGTAAAACTATAATCTACTGATAAATATATAAATAAATGAAAGCACTGAAGCAGATTGCCCATATGGGCACTAGAGGTTGACACTAAACTGTAATATGGGAGTAACAAGCATACTGTACCTTCTCTAAATTAGTGAGATACAGGAGCTGGCCTAGTTTCTTCTGAAGCTGGGATTTGGCAACTGCCTTGTCATTCAAAAGTTTCACTCGATTTTGCTCTACCTAAAAAACAGCATTTATTAAGCATGGATAAGGAATCACACAAAAGAGGGTCAAAGATAGGGCTGGAAAGGACTTGAAACTAATCAAACCCCCTGCTCAAGGCAAAGTCTTTCTTGTTTAAGCCATCCCAGAAAGACATTTGTCTAACCTATATTCAACATTTTTTAGTATTGGAGAGTCCACAACCTCTCTATAATCCATTCTAGTGCTTAATTAACCACCCTCAGAATTAGACAGTTCTTCATATATCCAACCGAAATCTCCATGATTTCTTGTCCTGTGCCCCGTATCTACAGAGAACAATGCATTGCCGCCCTCTTCATAAGAACCTTCCTGGTATTTCAGGACTGTTATGGAACCCCTCAGTCTTCTCTTCATAGACTAAATCTCAATTCCTCCAAACCCCAACTTGTATGAAATATTTTCTAGACCTCTAGAAAAATGGCAGGAGGTGGGGAGGGGGAGAGGGAAGTACATAGCAAGTGGCCCAAGTGGCATGCAGCCTCCTGGTCTACAGCCCATGCAGTGCATGGCCACCAAGAAGTTGGAGAACCCCGATTTACAGAATAATTGATCCCAGCACCCAACGATAATTCTTCAACCAACCTGTGTGAGCTGACCCCAACTGTTTAGTAATTTTTTACAACCTATGCTGTTTTTTACTTTAGTTTTCTCTGTTCTTCATTTAGCCCAGTGGTTCTCAACTAGGGTGGCTACAAGACCCTTTCAGGGGTGCCACATAACAGCTGCTGCCACCAGGCCAGGTAAAAATGTCCTGCCTACCTTGTACATAGCCATACCAGAAAGGGCAGGGGCATGGGTGCTTGCTCCTTCTCTTGGTAAAGGTTCCTGATAGCATAACACAGACAAGAGAGCCTGCTTGTGCCATGACCCTTCCCTGCACAACATTGCTCAAAAACATTCCTGCATGCCTGTTTCCAGGAGAAGCATGGGAGGAGGGGGGCAGACTAGAAAGGGCTGCAGCATAGGCAGGGTCTCCTGCCTGTTTTTGTCTTATTCAAATACCCAAATGGAAGTAGGGGAACACACATGCTATAACCCTGTCCAGCCTGGGTGTACACAAGGCATTTTTACCCAAGTGCAGTGGCAGCACCCTGATTGAAAACAACAGAAGTAAACTGAGGCAGTACAACAGTGGTTCTCACCCAGGGGTGCCACCAAATTCCAAAAGTTTGTGGAGCGATGTCCTAAATCTAATAAGGTTGAGAACCACTTAGTTAGCATATTCTATGACAATGGATCAGTTGACTTTTGTTTCTAGTCCATTTTAATCCTGCAAAAACTGCAAACACTACAGATAAATGCTGAGGACTAAAAAAATAAGTGATTCCCCTTTAGTTTAATGAATACATTTCTATGGTTTTGTAAAAAGTCTGTTCTTTAAAAAGGAAATTCTACATTTTGCATTACAACTATCATGCCAATTAAAAATTAATTTTTCAACCCTATTTTTGCAGGGTAAGTTGAATGTTTTACTGAATGCAGAATCTAAGAATTTGTAGAAAATTAGAAACCAAGCATATAGCTCATTGTTACTCCTCTGTTTTTATCCTGGTAGGCATGGATGTCTGGTGCCTCTTGAGTTGGCCCCTACGACAAGTCAGTGACTGGGGCAGGGGATGTCCCCCGGCAACCAATCCCACTGGCCGGGGAAAGAGAGTCTCCTGGTGGCCGACCTCACTCACTGTAAAAGCGGCCAGCGCTCCCCAGCTGGTGTCCA